GTAGGAGTAGTAGAGAGGCGTGGGACTAGCGCGGGCAAACCTAGAGTTCTGGGATTATTAGTAGCAATCATCGTCATCGTCGCCGTACTTGCAGCAGTCCCATGAGCGGGGTGGGCGTCCATGGGCGGTGTTTCTGTACCTGAGTCAAAGGATGGGAAAGAGCGTAGTTCTAGGTAGCCCCTGGGACATTTTATATTTTCCCTTATTGGGGTTAAGAGGATCTTGTTTACGAATATTTTTCAGAGGCTTTGAGGGGCCAACCTAGAGTTACATATCCAGGCTTTAGCCTTATCGGCTTCAGGGCGAGCATTGCGGCTTTTCCCTCCGCGGCACTCAGGGAAGACGCTACGAAAGATAGCATTTCTCAGCACCACGTCTTGAAGCCCAAACACTGAACTCTCAACGGATCCTGGCAGAGGCTATATAGGTGTTGCTCCTCCACGAGCCCCTGGGAAGATTGACGGCACTAAACTTCCTAAGCCCTAAATTCTACACAGGCTTTAGGTCTTCTCCCAGCGGCCTCTACCTTGAGTTACCCAAACCTACCTTTTTCCAGGGTATGAACCCCAAAGCGGACCAAAGCAGGTCAGCCGCGGTTTCCTGCATGCCTATCGGAGGAGGCTCCCTGGGTTTTAAACCCCTAAACTTTAGGGGTCAGTGTTCAGGGTTCAGTAGGGAGGCTTGCATTGGGGTCCCGATACAGGTTCTAAGGGGGAGGGAAGGACCAGGCATACGACAGGGGGCTCGCACCCATGCGCCCTTGACTATGTCTCTTGTTGCAAACAGTTTGAGACTCCACAATTCTGCACCTTTCTCTGAGTCTGAACTGGAAGAGAAAGTGATACAATCAGCAGCGGCAGAGAATTGATATCTCGCGTCGGCGAGCGGAAGAACCCTTATAGATCCCTTTCAAGGAACCCCCAAACCCGAAGTCAGGAACCCGGAACCCTAAGACCCTGGGCCGCAGAAGCTTGCTTCCAGTCGTGTCGCCAAAAGCAGAGCCTTGTCGGTGGAAGTACGAGATAATCAGGGACCCGACTATCGATCCCAAGAGTACCCCTAATTGGAAAGGTGCCCGAAGAGCAGCACACCCCACCCCCCGCCCGCCATGTGGGCAGTTCACCATTGAGAGTTCGTATGGCAACCTCACGCCACGAGCACTTAGCGGTTGGGAGTGTAAGGGTCAGCTATATAGGACCCTCAAGAAGGAAGCCCTTTCGTACCAAGACCGCCAAACCCTAAGCCTAAACCCCATAATCTATGAATTTGACGAAGCGACTTGTCCCTGGTGCTTGCCTCGCCCCGCATTTTCAGGGGCTGCTGTAACTTCGAAAAAAATGTGACCCTTTGTGCACATGCTTCTGGTAAACGCCGTTCGATGTTGGCACCTGCCAATAGATCCCAACTCCAACAAATTACATAGTGCCACAAATTGGGTGTCGCAACTTCCGCTGACTTCCTTGAGTCTTCAATCTCCAGCTTCTCGTGGATGAGACCCAAGGATTCTTCTGGTTCTGACGGTTAGAATCCTACTATCTGGAAGTTCAGAGCCAAGTTTTTGCGAATGTGTCTCCACCCACACCCCCAGGCATGGCCATCACCTGGGCGTTTCGTCTCACTGACATAGCATTCTCTCTAGGGCTTCCAGGGCTTCAATTTTCGAATGCTGGGGTTTGTGGTCCCTGTCGAGAATGTTAGAACGCCTCGTCCCGAAAGAACCTGTACCCACCTAAGCCCAAACCCAAAACCGTAAACCCTAAACCCGGGTGATCAGCTCTTACATTGACAAGAGTCGTAGCAGTGATCATGATCTTTGATGGCAGTGTCAACTCGTAGAGAAATTGGCCTGGAAAGCGTTCCATACCCATAGGCCCCAAAGTAGTTCCTTTTGGGGATTACCCTATAGGGTTCTATATATGAATCCCAAAAAGAAACTACTTTGGGGCCTTAGGGTAATTCTATATATGAACCCCAAAAAGAAACTACTTTGGGGCCTTAGGGTATAACCATAGCAGTCATAACAGCAGAGGCGAATCAGGAGCTTTCCGTTGCAGAGCTCACTTCGGCGATCAGTGCTTGCGGCAGAGGCGGGCCCAGCACAGGGCTACATAAAAGGTTCCCCTTATATATATATATATATGTATATATATATATATAGAGAGAGAGAGAGAGAGAGAGAGAGAGAGAGAGAGTTCCTTTAAGGGTTCCTTTGAAGGGTTCCTGCGTAGGGTTGCATTTGTATAAAACATAGGGGCCTAAACGATTACCGACAACATTTCGGGGTGTCGTTTTTATGATTATAGTATAATGGGTCCCCAAACCCTATTCTAATCATTAAGCCGCTCCAGGACTTCACTGGCGTCTGGCTGCGGAGTTGCTTCAGAGTCGGCTATCCCAAAGCCTGCCGAAGCCCACGGCTGGGGACTTGGGTTTACGGATTAGGGATTGGGGTTTCGGGATTCGGGTTCAGGGATTCAGGTTCAGGGATTGATTAGGGTTTGGGGATTAGGATTCAGGGTCAGGGATTAGGGCTCAGGGATCACAGTAGGGTTTAAGGTTTGTTTAAATCGGCTTGCTCAGGCAGATGAATCAACTGGCAGCACCCTACCAATACTCCCGAAGGCTCCATGAAGACTCATAACCTGTAACCCATCAGTTCCTTGTTTTGAGGTTTGGAAGTTCTAGACAATGTTCTTTTGATGGGCTTCTCCAGGTTTAAGGGTTGGGGTTTAGTTTAGGTTTTCGAGTTCAGGCTTCATGTGGCGATCAAAGTGCCTGTGCCGCCGGTACAGCGTCTACTCTTCCAGTCTCTGCGCCTGTATTTCTAAGCCCATACCCAAAGATGCAAAATCCTAAGCCTCAAACCCGGAACCCTAAACCCTCTTGCTGCTCTTGCTGAACCGCTGTCACTAAACTGGCATTCTTCCATTTCAACCAGGATGAACAAGTGCCCACCGACTTCAGATCAGGCTTTGCCCAAGTCCTCTAAAGCGGCCTGGGGATTTTCAAGCCCTGAAGCTGAACTGAAACTGGAAGCCTGAAGCGGCAATGTTGCCACCATGAAACACCTTCGGAAACAGGAATCGCAGCATAGCAAGAAGTAGCCGAGCAGGAAGAAGCCTACTAGTCATGGCAATGCTGAGACCAAGAGGGAGTAAGTAAACGAAGTACCCTGGGGAAACTGTAACATGGTATGTCTGGTTAGATCATCGCAACAACTTCGGCTGGAATAGTCCTCAACTGAGCTGCTTGTCGCGAGAGTCATAGCTAGAGTCCAGATATGAGCGTAAACCAAACCCCCCTGAACCCCTAAATCCCAACCCCAATCCCCCAAATTTAGTGTGGAACCCTTGCAATTAGATCCCTTCATGGAGCCCCTAAATCCCAAAGCCTTCAGGTGGCGACCTACAATGCAATGATTGATGCCTGTGCCTGCAGTGGTCAGTGGGAGCAGGTCGTGTGCGTCGACACCGTAAAGTCTACCATGAGACACCTGAAGGATACTTGGTGTTCTACCAATGGGGAGGCACAGAGTTCCGGGTCCAGAAAGACGCTGCATGCTGAGTGTTGATTTCTATCATTAGTCTTTGTCTTCCGCAATGTTGTACATATATATATATACATATATATATACATATATATATATATATATATATATATATGGTATGCAGTGCAGGCAGTCGCCTGGCTGCACAGTCTACAATGGGCGCAGCTTCAGCCTTCGGCCCGGTACTCAAAGTTGAAGTGTGAGGGTTATGTAGGAGCTTAATGGTAATTAATGGTTGTACGTTTATTAAATAGTTTCCTTGAGTTGCCAATGCTACTTTGGTGGTTCCGCCAAGAAGTATGGTATAACATCCCCCAGGCCCTATTCTAATTATTGGGCCCCTATATTAGATGACCGGTTCAGGGCATGACATGTTGCACGTATTCGGATTCAGATCTTGAGCTTGCTCTGGTTGAAGTTGAAGATGGCACCGAATGATGTTGAAACCGAAGCCCGGCAGTAGTGTTCAATCCCTAGGCCATCCACACGATACAGTCGGGCTTAATATCAGTTCAGATGGCTCATGAACCCCTGCCCCGTGATATTCAACGGGGTGCGGACTCCCGCCGGCAATAGAAACTCGGAAGGTGTTTAGAGTTAGGGGGCTTTGTTCACGACTACAATTGTGACATTTGGGGAATCTTTCTCCTGCTCTTGCTCTTGCTCCTAAACCTCCCAACTCCCTATGCGTGTTTTATCAGTCAATGGGCGAAGCGATTAGCAAGGCTGGTTGAAACTGCAGGAACAGCAGGATTACCGGTACTACGTGTACTTGCACTGCTCCTCTTCTTCTCATACTGGCTTCTATTCCTTGCTATTCGAATGTTGAAGCATCGCTGATGTCAGCGTGTCCAGGAATCTGGCCATCCGTCTTTACATGGGTTTCAGCATGCTGATGAAGCCGAGGCGACTGTCCATGCCTGTGGCATAGGTGGTTGTGGGAGCTTCTCTAAGCTTCGATGTGAAGAGGGCAATCTTCAAGTCTTCCTAGTGTTATATGAGGAAAGCGAAGATAAGCGAAGGACGAAGGAGAGCCAGAAAGAGCAATCTTGCTACCAGGTCATCACGTACAACAGCCTCATCAATGCCTGCGGCAGCAAGCAGTGGCGGAAGGCAGCTCTGCAGCCGCCGCAAACCATGGAACGAGATAGACGGAAGACACCACCGCCCCGTTCGTTCTTCAAGTAGCTCGAATAGCTTGCACATTGCAGTCGTCTATCTCTTTGATTTCATCACACCGTCATGAGACCTTCTGCGTTGTTGAGGCAAGTGTCCGGCATCTGAACAGGCCTCAACTCAGGATCCTCCCAATTGCAAATGATGGAGGTGGAAGACGGTGGAACTTCAAGAGCTAGCTGATCCTCAAACTCGCCTCCCTGGACATATGCCATTGTGGCTCGAGCGCAGCTGAAGCCTTTGCAAGACTCCCCTCAACATCCGGCCCGGTCGCAGGATGGCGCACGGTGCCTCGTGCAAGTGCTCCCCATGTGGACGCCGAGGAGCAGCCCAGGCGCGCGCCTGGTCCATCCGAATCCTGACACACATGGTGACGATGTGGCACTTTGGGAAACTTTATAATTTCACTTGTGGTCCCTACAGGTGTACGGATTCCTATTCGTAAATGCTTTGCAAGGGCCCCAACCCCAAAACTATACAACCCACGCAGGTTAAGCCAGGCCGCCTGGGAAAGGCTGCCCGCGAGAAGGCCGGCCTGGAGCGGAAGAAGTGCCGCGGCAAAGCGAAGTGGGAGGACAAAGACGCTCAGCATGCGCTTGCCGACGAGGTGATCGAGGAGGAGGAGCAGGAGACACCGACCAAGCTGTGGCAGAAGGGCGGGTGTTTGGGGCACAAGGGGCGGAAGAGAGTTGCGGAGTTTGCATTGTCGGGACTCGGGACACCTGGGTTGAGTCGGTTAAGTTTGGGGGTGCTCTTCCCGATGCCTTGGAGGAGGTTCTTCCGGCGGAGAATGAGGAGGTCATGGATTGCGAAGCAGAGAACGCAACCGACGAATTTGCCGAGGCCGTGAAGAACATGGGCGACCTGGTGGATAAGATGGTTGCGGAAGCCGAGCGCAACGCGGAGCTTGCCCTGGAGGACTGGGTTCTTGTTCAGGACTTCAATAAGGAGACCGTGCTCTTTACATTTATTTGCTATAGATCCCTATTATGGTAACTTAGATTGAATTCCTTGACAAGAACTCAGAGGAAGCCGAGATGGCGGCTGCAGAAGCCGAGAGCTACGAAATGGAGCTCGAGACGCTCCTGAAAGAGCTGGGGGTCTGAGAGGCTGACAGGTCCGTCTTAGGGACTGCAAGCTGTCTACAGGGGGGTTTAGGGAGAACCTTAGCCACAGATCCTCCACCTGTGCAGCTCTTTGACATCGATGTAAAAAACAAAAGCTGCAAGGGTTCGAAAGCGCCACGTTGAAATGCCTTGCTTGGTTGCAGGATCCACAGCTTCGTTTATGTAGGCCTTTGGTTCACTAGCTAAGACGGACGCCTCACGTTCGAACAATTGAAATTGGCCTGTCGCTTGAGTATTCGGGATTTCAGGTGTACCGTTTAGCAAAGGATTTAGGGTTTAGGACGGTGTAGGATTCAAAGACTGAGGTTGAAAGCTTCAGTAGCTTCAGTGCATCTACAACTCTGCGACATGCCGAAAAAGAACCCAAGCTGGCCTGTCCAGTACCCGCCATTTCCCAAAGGTCCAAGTCGGTGCAATGTAGACGCCTACATCAGTTGTAGCGTTAGTACTCTTTTATAGCCTTTACCGCGCCCCCAAAACTTATTCTAATCATTACGGTCTCATGATTTGATAATTGGAGTTCTGCGGTTCTAACCCATATACGGAGACGCAAGATGTGTTGGACCTTTGGGAGTGATCCAAAGACTTGCAGGAGCTTGTGAAACGAAGAAGCATGCCCTGTTTGGGCATATGTCTGTTTGCTAGTGTCCTTTTCTTGCGCCGTTTTCCGAACCATGCTCAAACTCTCAAACCCTTCACTTGCTCTTGCGGAGAGGGAGCTGCCGGAGACGAAGGATGATGAAAGGGGGAAGCTTGACTTGAACTTGAACCCGTAGAGCTCTGGTTCTCGCAGTCCTTTCAATGCCACATTGTTGCCGGCAGAACAAGTGTAGCCCGAACGCACGTTCGCATATCACTGCGTGCGTGTGGGCTAGATGTCAACATGCTTCTCCAAGACCAACGTGTCTGAGGAGTCACGGTCGCGTCCGTCCTAGGGATTGCAAGCTGTTTTCAATCATAGCCTCAGCCCACAAACCGCCGACCTGGCAGGGCATACATAGTACGAGAGCGTACTGCAACCCGTGTATATCGAAGTAAGAAGCAAAACTGCAAGGGTTCGATTCTGCCAGATTGAAATGCCCCGTTTGGGAGCAAGATCAGCAGGTTCGTTTTTTTTATGCTTGTGATTCACTAAGACGGATGCCAGCATTTTCGAATGCGCGAAATTGGCCTGTCGCCTGAGCAGTTAGGGTGTCAGGAAGACCGTTTAGTATAGGATTTAGGGTTGAGGACGGTGTAGGATTGCAGTTGGCAGCTGCGGTGTACTTACAACTCTGCGACAGGCCGAAGAAGATCCCAAGCTGGCATGTCCGGGACATTCCAGTTCGCAGGTCCAAGTCTGTCTGATGTAGACGCCTGCATGATTTGTAGTGTCACAATTTCTTCAGAGTCTTCTTCTATGTAAACTTGAGTATACGCCAGAGCCATGTTCTATTCATTAAGGCCCCGGAATAGATTTATCGGTCATTGGCATTCTGCTCTTGTAACCATTGTGTATGGAGACATGTCCACATAGGCAAGCAGGATTGGGCCCTTGGGAGTAGTCTGCCAAGGACTTGCATGAGCTTGTGAAGCGAAGAAACATGTATTGTTTGGGCATAACTCTGTTGCTAGTGACTGCTAGTGTCCTCATCTTGCGCGCTGGGTCCGAACCCTACTCAAACCCGTGTAAAGCAGTATGTGTATTCCGAGGATTGCTTCACTTGCTCTTGCGGAGAGGGAGCTGCCGGGCCGAAGTATAAGTATATCGCAGTATACGCTTCAAAGCGAATGGGAAAGCGTGAACTTGAACCGCAGAGCTCTGTTTCTCGCAGTCTTTTCAATGCCACTTTGTCCCCGGCAATCCGGCAGAACCAGCACGGCGACAACGCAGGTCGCATATCGCCGAGGGTGCGAGGTGGAAAGGCACGTTAGAACGGCAGATTCAGAGTCACATGCGCCTCTTCGACCTCACTCCACATCGCACGTAGATCAGCGATCAAAGTGCTACAGGTGACAATGTTTCGCAAAATAACAGGATTGTAGCTTGCTGCTGCTGGACCAAGGGAAATCGAGTGGTTTATAGCATTTTTTGTAGCGTCGATTCGACAGTGTTTTGTCTCCATGTGCCCTTGTGGCTCGAGCGCTTGCGATTCGTTCAGCTGAAGCCTTTGGAAGGCTCCCCTTAACATCCGCTCCGACCGCAGCATGGCGCACGGTGCCTCGTGCCCAGGAGCAGCCCAGGCACGCGCCTGGTCCATCCGAATCCTGCGGAATATGGTGACGATGCGGCACTTTGGGAAGCTTTATAATTTCCCTTGTGGTGCCTGTATAGAGGTACGGATTCCTATTCCTAAATACGTTGCAAGGGCCCCAACCCTAAAACTATACAACCCGCGCAGGTTAAGCCAGGCCGCCTGGGAAAGGCTGCCCGCCAGAAGGCCGGCCTGGAGCGGAAGAAGTGCCGCGGCAAAGCAAAGTGGGAGGACAAAGACCCTCAGCATGCGCTTGCCGACGAGGTGATCGAGGAGGAGCAGGAGACACCGACCAAGCTGTCGCAGAAGGGCGGGTTTTCGCGGCACGAGGGGCGGTTGCTGGGTTTGCTTTGTCGGGATACGGGGTTACGTCGGTTAAGTTTGGGGGTGCTGTTCCCGATGCCTTGGAGGAGGTTGGTGCGGCGGAGAATGCGGACGAAATGGACTTCGAAGTAGAAAACGCTACCGAAGATGTCGCCGAGGCCATCAAGCATAGCGGCGACCTGGTGGATAAGATGGTTGCCGAAGCCGAGCGCAGGTCGGAGCTTGCCCTGGAGGACTGGGTTCTTGTTCAGGACTTCAATTCAAGTTACCATAAATAAGGAAACCGTGCTCTTTACATTTATTTGCTATAGATCCCGATTATGGTAACTTAGATTGAATTCCTTGAGAACTCAGAGGAAGCCGAGATGGCTGCGGCAGAAGCTGAGAGCTACGAGATGGAGCTAGAGACGCTCCTGAAAGAGCTGGGGGTCTGAGAGGCTGACAGGTCCGTCTTGGGGACTGCAAGCTGTCTACAGGGGGGGTTTAGGGAGAACCTTAGCCACAGATCCTCCACCTGGCAAGGTACAACATCAGAACGTTATACTGCAGCTCTTTGACATCGATGTAAATAACAAAAGCTGCAAGGGTTCGAAAGCGCCACGTTGAAATGCCTTGCTTGGTTGCAGGATCCACAGCTTCGTTTATGTAGGCCTGTGGTTCACTAGCTAAGACGGACGCCTCATGTTCGAATAATTGAAATTGGCCTGTCGCTTGAGTATTTGGGATTTCATGTGAATCGTTTAGCAAAGGATTTAGGGTTTAGGACGGTGTAGGATTCAAAGATTGAGGTTGAAAGCTTCAGTAGCCTCAGTGCATCTACAACTCTGCGACATGCCGAACAAGAACCCAAGCTGGCCTCCCAGAGGTCCAAGTCGGTGTAATGTAGACGCCTACATCAGTTGTAGTGTTCGTATTTGTTTAAAGCCTTTACGGCGCCTCCAAAACATATTCTAATCGTTAGGGTCTCGTGAATTGATAATTGGAGTTCTGTGGGACCCTTGGGAGTGATCCAAAGACTTGCAGGAGCTTGTGAAACGAAGAAGCATGCCCTGTTTGGGCATAGGTGTCTTTGCTAGTGTCCTTGTCTTGCACCGTTTTCCGAACCATACTCAAACTTTCAAACCCTTCACTTGCTCTTGCGGAGAGGGAGCTGCCGGACACGAAGTATGATGAAAGCGGTAAGCTTGACTTGAACTTGAACCCGTAGAGCTCTGGTTCTCGCAGTCCTTTAGTTGCCACTTTGTCGCCGGCAGAACAAGTGCAGCCCGAACGCACATTCGCATATAACTGCGCGTATGGGCTGGATGTAAACATTCTTCTCCAAGACCAATGTGTCTGAGGAGTCACGGACGCGTCCGTCCTAGGGACTGCAAGCTGTTTTCAATCATAGCCTCAGCCCACAAACCGCCGACCTGGCAGGGCATACATAGTACGAGAGCGCACTGCAACTTTTAGAAATCGAAGCAAGAAGCAAAGGCTGCAAGGGTTCGATTTTGCCAGATTGAAATGCCTCGTTTGGGTGCAAGATCAGCAGGTTAGTTTTTTTGTATGCTCGTGATTCACTAAGACGGATGCCAGCATTTTCGAATGCGCGAAATTGGCCTGTCGCCTGAGTTAGGATGTCAGGCACACCGTTTAGTATAGGATTTAGGGTCGAGGACGGTGTAGGATTGCAGTTGGAAGCT